ATTCAAGGCACCATCCAACCATCTTAAGGACTTCCCTCTGGATTTGTGTAGGGCAGAGCCATAGCCCCGGGTGACGTCTCCAGAGGGGCACCATTGAGGCTCCCAGTCTGTGTTTGTGTGTGCAAATGTACATAGGTGTGTGTGCCAAACTGGGTCTTTGACCCGGGTGAAAAAAAAGCCTAGTTTCGCCCCTGATGTAGTGTTTGCTCCTTAGCCTTTTCTTCTCTCAAAGATGTCTGAAATATACTCGGAGTCGAGAGTGGATTTCATGCTCTTTATTCAGCTCATAGTGTTGAGGAGGAATGGAAGTTCCCCCAGAATGTCTGCTTTATATACATTATTTACACAATGGGCCCCACGTGATTGGCTAATTCCGGGATTCTCCTGTAGGCCAATCAGGTTGCGGATTCACTTCCACCTGGAGCTGGATTGGGTGGCTCCTGTGGACCAATCAGACTGCTGCATTCTGGATCCTATTGTTCTAGGACCAATCAGACTGCTGTATTTTGGATCCTCAGTACATAACAATGCCCCAAAAGGAAGCAGAGGTTTTGGTCAGAGTTTTTCTTCTCCTAGATGGGCTTCCTTCCCAGGTTGATGAGCCCCATCTGCCCCTCACTTCCCTCTACAGCATGTGCAGAAACTGCCTTATTTTGGGCTGGATTTAGTTTTGATGCGGCCCTAAGCTACTGATGAGGCCCTTTATATGTCCAGCTGTCCTTTGTCAACAACAAATTGTCTCTGTCTTTTGTGTTGAATATATGTTATGGTAATTTATGGACCTAATAGGTATCTAAGGCCATTTCTACATAACAAAATAGGAGCCTACACAACACAAAAAACTGTTGCTGCATGTAGGTTTTATTTGTTTTTTATCTTATATTTTGGAAATGTACATCCAGGATTTTTTTCTCTTTAAATTTTTTGGGGGCTATAGCTTGTTTAGCTTATACTGTGGTACCTTGGGATGCGAACGGGATCCGTTCCGGAGCCCCGTTGGCATCCTGAACAGAACATAAGATGCGACTGTGCATGTGCGGGTCGCAGCTTCCGCGCATGCGCGTGACATCATTTTGAGCGTCTGCGCATGCGCGAGTGGCGAAACCCGGAAGTAACACGCTCCATTACTTCCGGGTCGCCACAGACCGCAACCCGAAAATACTTATCCTGAAGTGTATTTATCCTGAGGTATGACTGTATGTAAATCTGGCACCGGCCTTATCTACTGTTGGGCCCAATATTGGTCTTGTCTTTTCAATCCGCCTGAGCCTGTCTTTGCATGCAGGGGAAGTCTCTAATTTAAGGTTACCAGACATCCCCATTTCCCGGGGACAGTCCCTGGATTTACAAATCAGTCCTCTGACAAAAACCTATCATTCCTATTGAAGTTGAAAAGAGTCCCCGGGTTCATTGAAAAAAATCTGATAACCTTACTCTAATTCACTGAGGGTTTGAGACCCCCCCCCCAGCTACCAGCGCCTGGTTTAGTTGACTAGTCAAATGGGTTTCCCGGGGTATGCCCACTGTCTCATGCTGACAGCTTCTAGAAGCCGCAATGGAAGACCAGGAGAAGGCAACATGTGGCTTTTTCCAGATCAAGAAGTGCAGGCCACAGAGCACTGGAGAAAAACAGGAAAGAAAAAGACACATCTCTCTCGACTGCCTCGCAGCTCAAGGTAAGCTCAAAATCCTGCGCCCACAGAAATGCTAAAGATAATCTAAATTGCCTTGAGAACGAAGGAGGAAAATGGAAGTCTTTTTTCTCAGGGAAGGAAACTTCTGAGAAACTGGTGGACACGTTTTGGCTCAGTGCTTATTCATATGGCTTATCCTACGGTTCAAAAGTAGCCACATAGATATGGCATAATACCAACTAAAATTCACTATATTTTTCGCTCTATAAGACGCACCAGACCACAAGGCGCACCTAATTTTTGGAGGAGGAAAACAAGAAGAAAAAAAAATTCTGAATCCCAGAAGCCAGAACAGCAAGAGGGATCGCTGCACAGTGAAAGCAGCGATCCCTCTTGCTGTTCTGGCTTCTGGGATAGCTGTGCAGCCTGCATTCGCTCCATAAGACACACACACATTTCCCCTTACTTTTTAGGAGGGAAAAAGTGAGTCTTATAGAGCAAAAAATACGGTAATTGTTAAGTGCATACCTTTGGTCAAGGAAACCAGCCCCATTTGTGTCTATATCATCACAACATAGTACCAGAATGGTATTGTACTAACAACAGTCTTATCATTGCTATCAAAAGTGGCTGTGTGTGAGTGACCTTGGGCGAAAGAAAGTCACAGCTAATCCTCAAACTCAATTCTGTTCCTATTAGCACAAGGTTCCGAAGGTTCGGGACGCGGGTGGCGCTGTGGGTAAAACCTCAGCGCCTAGGACTTGCTGATCGTATGGTCGGCGGTTCGAATCCCCGCGGCGGGGTGAGCTCCCTTCTTTCGGTCCCAGCTCCTGCCCACCTAGCAGTTCGAAAGCACCCCTAAGTGCAAGTAGATAAATAGGTACCGCTTTATAAAGGTACCCCTGCCCATACAGGCCAGTCTTGACAGACTCTAGGGTTGTGCGATCATCTCACTCTATAGGCCGGGAGCCAGCGCTGTCCGCAGACACTTCCGGGTCACGTGGCCAGCGTGACAAAGCTGCATCTGGCGAGCCAGCGCAGCACACGGAACGCCGTTTACCTTCCTGCTGGTAAGCGGTCCCTATTTATCTACTTGCACGCAGGGGTGCTTTCGAACTGCTAGGTTGGCAGGCGCTGGGACCAAACGATTTATAGTGGGAAGGTAAACGGCGTTTCCGTGTGCTGCGCTGGTGCTGGCTCGCCAGAGCAGCTTCGTCATGCTGGCCACGTGACCCGGAAGTGTCTCTGGACAGCGCTGGCCCCCAGCCTCTTAAGTGAGATGGGCACACAACCCTAGAGTCGGACACGACTGGCCCGTACGGGCAGGGGTACCTTTACCTTTACCTTCTGAAGGTTCAGATTTCATTCTCCATTAAGGTGAATGCACTGTGGAATGGTCGCCAGGCGGAAGGGCTCTGCTGACTCCACCCCCTTCCAATTACTACTCTGGGTTCAATGGGGGCTGCCCTTGGAAACAGCTCAGAAACGTCAGCTGGTCTCCAAATGTAGCAGCCTGGTTTTTTTGTACCCTGGGTAGGTCAACAAGGCTTTTAAACTGTTTCTCTCAGAACTGCGTTAATCGAGGGTTATTTTGGCCTGGGGTCTGAAGCTCAATTTTGGACACTGTTTTTGGCATTTCCTAAGTTTTGCCAGACCAAATAAATGAAATTTGGGACATCGCCGGAGATCTTCATAGCTTTGTTTGGATTGCATTGACCTACTTTCAGTGGGGAATGTACAATGCTGTTTGCCTCAGTCTAGGTTTCTAGAGCTTGGCAAACGCTCTGAATGATACACTTTCCTAACACATTCCAAGGCCAGATTATAGCACATATTGAAGTCCCTGTTTGCACTGGCTCAGCCTCCCCAGCACTGAGCATGCCACCCCCCTGTAAACTTTCCCTGGGTGCCTGGATTGGACACCCAGCCTCCCTGCTGTTCTGAACAGAGCTTCTCTCTGTGAGTGAGTGTAACAGTGCCTCCCTCCTCCCACCCCCCGCTTGATGGGGGAATTGCACCATTTTGCGGTCTTGTCTTTCTTGCTGCTCTTGGTAGCCATTTTTTTGTTACGTCACATCCCTACAGCAACATTTCTGGGACCACGGCACTTCCTCAAAATTCCCAATGTGTCAACAGGCCCCCAAAAGGTTGGCAGACCTGCACAGGGCCAAATTCCGTTGAAATCAGGAGGACTGACTTCCAGGGCTGTCACCTGGTTAATGAATCTTAGCTGATTTATTAAATTGGATAGAAAGCAATACTTTTGAAGGGAAAATGCACACTTTCCTCTTTTTTATATATATGATGTCCATTTAGCAGAGTGTTTCTCAACCTGTGGGTCCCCAGATGTTGTTGGACTACAACTCCCATCATTCCTAGCCAGCATGACCAGTGGTCATGGATGATGGGAGTTGTAGTCCAGCAACACCTGGGGACCCACAGTGAGTTACTGTATGTGCTGCTGAAAGGTCACTCACAACCCAACATGTAAAAGATAAAGGGACCCCTGACCATTAGGTCCAGCCATGGCCGACTCTGGGGTTGCTCCTGGCTCACACTCATCTCGCTTTATTGGCCGAGAGCCGGCGTACAGCTTCCGGGTCATGTGGCCAGCATGACTAAGCCACTTCTGGCGAACCAGAGCAGCGCACGGAAACATCGTTTACCTTTCCCGCCGGAGCGGTACCTATTTATCTACTTGCACTTTGACATGCTTTCAAACTGCTAGGTTGGCAAGAGCAGGGACCAAGCAACGGGAGCTCACCCCATTGCGGGGGTTTGAACCGCCGACCTTCTGATCAGCAAGTCCTAGGCTCTGTGGTTTAACCCACAGCACCACCCCTGTCCCACAACCCAACATACTTTGCAGCAAACATGCTTGGAATAAGACTGCAAGAATGCTTTCACGAGCAACCTTTGAAACATCTTCTAGTCAACCGTACAAATCCACTTGTGAGCACTGTGACCACAAGTAGGACAGACCTGGTTTTAAAGAGCTTGTGCATTCAAAGCCAAGCAATATAAAGTTTTTGTTCCATTTTTCAGGCAAAGGGAATGCACACACAAAACCACACACCCTTAAAAAAAATATCTAAGTATAATTCCTGGGCACAGCCCAAATGTCACACAGTCTAGGCAGCGGATTGTCCCTGGGGCGAACCCTGAGGTGTGTCACCTTTCTTCCCACTTTCAGACACGACGCACAACTGCTCACGCTGAATGTGGAGAACAACAACAACCACCCTCCCGCGCCCAGCAAGGGCCCCTCTGCGCGCCTCCCTGTGCGTAGAGGTCAAACTAAAGCCCTGCTCTTCCTGATAGATTTCGGAAGAGCTCTTCTCCATAGTGGAGGTGATGATGACTCACCGAGTGCACACATGAAGTAAACAAATAAAAAGTTAGCAGCAGCAAAGTTGGATACTTGCAAGCCTGCAAAACCCCAAGAGGTTGCGAGAGATTTGGAGAGAAGGGGAAGGAAGGAAGGAAGGAAGAGGATCCGCGCGCGTGCATGTGGAAGTTGGGCTCTCCCAACTCTGATGCGCCTGGGAGGGACCACCTGATCCCCTTGGCGGGGGTGGTGGGTGGCACCCATGCCACCTGAGTCACCCCTTTCTTCCTGCCTCCCTCCGCGTCCTCGCTCGGTCTCCATGGCGCGCGCGCAGCCCGGCCAAGTTCCTTGGAACTTCGCCTCCCTCTGACGCAAACAATCGTCGCGGGGCGCCGACCTCTCCTCCCTCGCAGCCAATGGGAAGTTGGGGGAGCCCCGGGCGGGGACCAATCACGGGGCGCTGGACGCTTCCCCGGTCCGGACTGACCTTCCCCGAGCCGGAGGGGATAAAAGAGCCTAGAGGAGGCAGCTGAGGTTTGGCTGCTGCTGCTGCTGCTGCTGCGCGGTGCTGCCTCTCCTGCGCTCCGGGAAGGGAAGCGGCGATCCAGCTCTGTGCAAGCAGCGGCGGCAGCGAGCGGAGGAGAGCGGGGAGGAGAGCGCAGGCCGCGGAGGAGCTGGCGGAGGGCCGGGCTGAGCTGCGTGCGGTTGCCGAGGGCGGAGAGCAGGAGCGAGAGGCGCAGCTCATTCATTGCAGCAGCAGCAGGAAGCCGGCTCGGCTGCAAGGAGCCGGCAAGCGGCGTCGGCGCCCACGCGCATTTTCCCCGCTCCAAGTCCGAGGCGGCATCATCGCCGACAGCGGAGGAGAGGTAAGGAGGATTCCGCTCCGGCTTCTTTCCCGTCGAGCAGCCGCTTCCCCTCGCCTCCGAGAGGCGTCCGTCCACCCACCCACCCACCCGCCAGTGGGGCGGGCGACCCCTTTCTCTGCAAAAGCAGGAGGCGCAAGGGGAGATCTGGGGCGAAGGAGGAGAGAATTGGGGGTGCGGGTGGCGAAGATGGAGATCCGGGAAGAGGAGGGAGGAGGGAGGGAGGGGCGCCTCGAAATGATGCGGGGGAATCGTAGAATTGTCAAGCTGGAAGGGACCCTCAAGGATCAACTAGTCCAGCCCCCCTTCAATGCAGGAATCTCAACGGAAAGCATCCAGGACAGATGCTTAACCTCTGCTTAAAAAGCTCCAAGGAAGAAAGAAGGAGAGTTTGGGGGGCGGGGAGCTGCAGAGCCTGGGGTTGTGAGGAGCTTTCCATTCTGCTCTGAAGCCTTGGCATCGCAGATCGTTCCCCTAAAAGTAATAAGGTCCTCTTCAGAATGCCATGGGGCAGGAGAGAGAATTTGCCAAGCAAGGAGGGGAGCAGGACTCCTGAGCTTGGAGGTGAGGAGAGGTGGAGGGCCTGGAGAGGGGAGCCTGGGCTTGTGTTGGAAGAAAGGTGAAGGCAGCGAGGAGGAGGTGGCTGGAGAAGGTGGGGAGATACTAGATCATGGGGCTGCAGCATCTGGAAAGACAAAGTTGTGGCATTTCATTGGTCTGAAATGGGGAAGGCTGTAGCTCGGTGGCAGAGCATCTGCCCGGCATGCAGAACGTCGCTGGTTCAATCCCCAACATCTTCAGAGACACCCTCCCTGAAACCCTGGAGCTCCGCTGCCAGTCAGTGTGGACAGTACTGAGCTTGATGGACCAAGCAGCTGCCTCACACTGAAAGCACTTTGGGCCCCTCAAAATGACCGAACTGGCCAATAGAGAGTGCACATTGAGTGAGTTTTTGTGGTAAATCGCACAACTCAAACCATGTTCACCTCAGCTGCCAGAATGCAACCAGATTTGGCAGCGGGGTGAGGCTGGCGGTGTGGCAGCTTCATAGTTGGGTGCAGTCGCACACCCAGTTCACTACACACTGTATTTTTGCATAGCTACACTCAGCTGGGGTTCTCAGGGACGCCAGTTTGTTCATGTGAACCGAGGCTCCTGTCACGGGCCTGCCAGCTGATTCGCTGGGACACCTCCTCATAGTTTGTCCCTTCCGACCAACGACCGAGGTGACAGTCTCAGTTGTTTCATAGCAAGCTTCTCTGAGCCAGGAAGCGAGTACCTTTCAACTTCTCAGCAAGCGCCAGTATGACAGAAAACTGTGTTTCTGAGTTGGCTTGCAGAGTTCCCTCATCTCAGGGGTATCAATAGGAAGAGAGAGACGCAGCAGTGACAACAGCGTGTTTTGATAGTCCTCCTGAGCTGGGCTCAGAAGATGCCAGAAAGGAGAATATCCTTATTAAAAAGCAACAACTTTTGCTCCATTAGGTGCTTGGGAAACCCACCAGCTCCAGAGCCTGTAAGGCAGCCCTTTTCCAAACTCCAGTGGTCAGTCGAGCCTAGCTGACAGGGTGGTTGTTGGGGTTTAAATGAGGAGAACCATGGGTATGGCACCTTGAGCTCAATGGACAAAAAGGTGGGATATAAATTCAATAATAAATATATATATTTTTAAAAGTTGCCTTCCAGGGAGCCTCCCCCACCCCTGCACTCACTCCACAAACTTTGGCATCATCTCCTGCACACACACACACACACACACACACACAGAGAGAGAGAGCAATCCAATACAATGGGAGAGCACTGGGTTGTTGTCAAGAGTTGCTACAAGGAAGAAAATAAATAAATCGGAAGTCACATTACTGCATGTGTTATCCTGATTGGGAATCTGGGGGTGCAGAGGGAGCGTAGGAAAGATTTGTAGTTTGCTACCTTTCTGAATTTTAAATCTGCACAAATTCTGGGTTTCGGATGCATGGAGCTAGAGCAGCCCATTGAGGTTCCACGAAGAAAGAGTAGCAAATGAAGCTGCCTTATACCATAGAATTGTAGAGTTGGGACGCCAAGAGTCATCAGCCAGTGTGGTGTAGTGGTTAAGAGTGGTGGACTCGTAATCTGGTGAACCGGGTTCGCTTCCCTGCTCCTCCACATGCAGCTGCTGGGTGACCTTGGGCTAGTCACACTTCTTTGAAGTCTCTCAGCCCCACTCACCTCACAGAGTGTTTGTTGTGGGGGAAGAAGGGAAAGTAGATTGTTAGCCGTTTGGAGACTCCTTAGGGTAGTGATAAAGCGGGATCTCAAATCCAAACTCTTCATCAAGTCCAAGCTCCTGCTATGCAGGAATATAAATTGAAGCCTCCACGACAGATGGCCATCCAATCTCTGCTTTAAAAAACTCCCAAGGAAGGAAGAGTCCAAGTTAAAACATTGGTTTATCTAGCTCAGTATTGCCTACACTGGTGCGGTGGCAGACAATCCAGCTCATCTGTTGTCTACACACACTGCCTAGTAGCAGCTCTCTAGCTTTCAGACATTTCCAATATGGCCTGGTTTTGGATTGAACCCAAGACTGCCACTGAGCCACAGCCCTTCCGCCAATTTGCTTCACCATGTCAAGAACTGCGGTTCTGAAGCTCATATAGTTCCGAGAGCTTCAGTTGTAATTCTCGTTCAGTCTTTGACGTGCTGTTTGAATTTCATAACCTATCTTTTGCCTCTTTGGGGGTCAAAGCAAACTGATCTCCTCCCACTATTTTTTGTGCCCATTAACGATAAATGCCTGCTCAACAGAGTTTGGCGCAATCTAAGGATGTTGCAAGGCATGCTCTTCATTCTGTTATACCAGGAACTTCCAGTCAATGAAGTTGACATCAGTCACATTTACACATGATACCTTTATAGCACTTTGAACAGTCTTGGCTTCCCCCAAAGAACTCTGGGAGCTGTAGTTTGTTATGGGTGCTACAATTCCCATAGTTCCCTGGGAAGAAGGATTCACTGTTAAACCACTCTTATTTCCTAACATTTCTCAACACCTTTCACAAGCTACAGCTCCCCAAATTATTCAGGGGAAACCATGGTGATTTGAAGTGGTATCACAGTGCTTTAAATGGGTGGTGTGAATGTGACCATAGATACCATACTTTTCACTCTATAAGACGCACCAGACCACAAGACGCACCTAGTTTTTGGAGGAGGAAAACAAGAAAAAAATATTCTGAATCTCAGAAGCCAGAACAACAAGAGGGATCGCTGCGCAGTGAAAGCAGCAATCCCTCTTGCTGTTCTGGCTTCTGTGATAGCTGCGCAGCCTGCATTCGCTCCATAAGACGCACACACATTTCCCCATACTTTTTAGGAGGGAAAAAGTGAGTCTTATAGAGCAAAAAATACGGTAGCTTTGTAAGTTAAATCAAAATAGATGTCATGTGGCTTTTGGGGGGGGGTAATATTCCTTATCCTATCCTAGGAAACCTCAAGGGCAATGGCCCTGAACAGATCTTTGCCTACAAGTTGTTTAGATTCCAGGTTTCCGGTAAAAGCTAACTTTGCAGTTTTCAGTTTCACCTGCCTTAAGGGAAGTTGTTTGCAGTCCGGACCAGATTTCAGCTGCCCTGTTTGTTCAACCAGCTCTTCCCTCCCCGTTTTATTATATTTTTTTAAAAGGGACATGGGGTAGTGGGGGGAGGAGAGGAAAGTTAATTGCTAACTGTTGTGCTGAAAATCAGGAGGCACAAGAGGTGAAAGGATGAGGGGAGAAGTGTCCGTACTTCTTGCAGACTTTGTTGGGGGCTTAGGCAATTATTATCTAGAGCTGCTTAAGATTCTGCTGCAGAAAGTAGGACATTGCAGACAGTGGCTAAATCAGCCAGAGGGTTTGGTGGGATGCACAAGTCCTGTGATCTTCAGATGGAGGGCGGCATACAAATTTAATAAATAAAATAGCATAAAATTAAAAGTCCACTGTGATGTGGGAGGTGGGGAGGAAGGCTGAGGAGTTAGTGGAGGGAAAGAGAAGGCTCTCTGGACATCAACATTTAAAAACCCCCTGTAATTATTTAATTTTGAATTTATATCCCACCTTTTTGTCCATTGAGTTCAAGTTGGCATATACGTGGTTCTCCTCTTTCCTCATTTAACCCCCACAACAACCCTGTGAGGTAGGATAGACTGAGAGCAACTGGCCCAAGGTGGCCAAGTGAAGTTCACAGCTGGGTGGGGATTTGATCCCTCGTCTCCCAGGTTCTAGTCCAGCACTCTAACCGCTGTGCCACATCTTTGCAGATTGCAGCCCTGCCATAGAGTGATGCTTAATTACTTTTATAATTTAGAGCAGGCATAGGCAAACTCCAGCCCTCCAGATGTTTAGGACTACAATTTCCATCATCCTTGACCAGTGGTCCTGTTAGCTAGGGATGATGGGAATTGTAGTCCCAAACATCTGGAGGGCCGGAGTCTGCCTATGCCTGATTTAGAGACTCCATCTCATGGCAGAGCTTTTATGCTAGCTTGTCTAAATGCATTCCCCTCATCTATATTGTTTGGAAGGTTTCAAAAAAATCCTCTCCCAGAACAGATTTTGTTCCTGTAATGAGAAAACACCAGATACAATACACCACATAATTTTGGGTTGCCCTCTTCTCAACACCCATCAGAGATCTCCTAGTGACTCCCTTACAGCTCAAAATATCAATTTGCAGAGAGTCTGTAATCCGATATTTGTTGAGGGATGATACTCCCGAAACTATCAAGATAGTCTCGTGATACTTAGCCGAGATTTCTAAAGCTAAATCTAAAGTTGCCTGATTTATTCAATGGTGGTTATCTAGTCTTTTTATTGTATGTGTTTGAATTATCAGTGTATTTAGATGACCTTGTATGATTTTACTGTTTTAACTTATGCCAATAAAGGCTAGTTACAACTAAGTTACAACACCGCTCCACGCTGGGTGGTGCTGGAAGGAACATAGGGAGCTGCCTTTGGCTGTGGCCCTTGGTCCATATAGCTCTATATTGTCTGATCTACTGAGCCAGGTGGACCAATGGCCTGGCAGCTTTCTATAGTCCCGCGAAGTCACTGGTAAGACTACTTTTGCTCTCAGAAAGCCTTCTTTTGGAGTTGAAGGTGCCTTTGGCTTGGCCATACGGTTTGGGTACTGTACAGGTATTTTGAGAATGCGTGTTTCTGAACTACACAGAGCTGCTTGATGAAAGCACATGGATAAATACCATTACACTCAGTGGGGAGGGGGGGGACTTAGTGTTAGTTATAATAATTTTTATTTGTATCCCGCCCATCTGCCTCGGTTGCCCCAGCCACTCTGGGCGGCTTCCAACAAATATAAAAGCTTAATGAAACATCAAACATTAACAGCTTCCCTATAGAGGGCTGCCTGCAGATGTCTTCTAAAGGTTCTGTCAACACCAACACTTTGAATTGTGCTTGGAAATGTACTGGGAGCCAGTATAGATCCTTCAAGACCGGTGTTATATGCTCACGGAAGCCACTCCCAGTCACCAGCCTGGCAGCCACGTTCTGGATTAGTTGTAGTTTCCGAGTCACCTTCAAAAGTAGCCCCACATAGAGCGCATTGCAGTAGTCCAAGTGGGAGATAACCAGCGCATGTCATAAGGGCCAAACAACACATTATGGGAGAGTTCTGTGGTTGATCTCCTGCTTCTCAAAAAAAAAAAGGGTTCATAAAAAACTGAGCAGCGTCAATCTGCTGATGTTTTTGTCTTTATTTTAATGCAGCTTGGTGTGGGGGTCTGAATTTGAACAAACTATAGCACTGGGGAATTAAGGTGTTTTGACACCCACCCACCCATGATGTTTTCCTGGTCCAAATTGCCCTGCTCCCCAAACTGCAGTTAGCTTTGCAAGATTGCGGGGGCACGAAGTAAAACACACGCTAAATTGGGAATAGCCAAAGCGCCGCATTTCAGGTGTTGTTGGGCTGGAGTTCCCATCATCCATGACCGGTGGCCTTTGTGTGCATGCACAACTTTTGTGTCAAAGAGCACCCTCTGATAAGAATTGTACGATGGGCTCAGAGGGGCGACGTCTGAGTGGGCAGCGGTGTGCTTGTGTGTCCTAATCGTTGTGCTTCTTCCTTTCCCAGCGTTCTCACCTCTCTTGGGCCTTCATGAAGAAACGGCTTGGTAGACCATTGGGAAGCCACCTTCCTTGACGCGCCACCCCAGCGATGCCCTGGAACATCAAATGGCTGGGCAGCTACAGCAGCCACAGCTCCCAGTCCCAGAAGCAGTGCAAGAAGTCCTCCTTTGCCTTCTACCAAGCGGTGAGGGACCAGCTGCCCGTGTGGCTGTTGGAGGACATGAGGCGCATGGAGGCCTTCCACTGGCAGGAAGGGGGCAAAGTCAGCACCTACTCCCCTTCCGAGGCCCTCCTCTACGCCCTGGTGCATAACCACCAGCCTTACGCCCGCTACCTGCTGAGCAACTTCCCTCAGAGTGCCCTGGCTATCCCCAGCCTTCACTTCAGCTGCTGCCATTCCTCCGCTCCTCACTTGGCCATGGCTGTGCGCTACAACCGTGTCCACATCCTTCTGGAGATCCTGAAGGCCATCAGAGACTTCCCGGCGAGCGACCGGGCCAGCTATTTGGACCGCAGAGGGTGCAGCCGAGTGGAAGGAGGCAAGACTGCCCTCCATGTGGCTTGCGAGCTGGTGAGGCCTGAGTGTTTGCTCCTGCTGCTGGGCCACGGGGCCTCACCCTGCCTTGTTGACTGCATGGGGAACACGCCCTTGGACCTCCTCCTGCAGCAGATCTGGGAGAGCCCGGCCTCGAACCTGCGCACCAAGCTGCTTCTCCTGGACTCCCTGTTCCTCTTTGTGCCTCAGGGCTCCCACTGTGCCATGAAGGAGCAGCTGCTGCAGGACTCTGAGCAATGGCAGGACCTGCTGGGGAAGCCCAGGTTCCAGTGGCTGGCGGGCTTAGCGCCTCCCTCCCTCTTTGTGAGTTCCATGCAAGTCTTAATCGGGACCATTACGCCAGATCAGTTCCCAGAGGCGCTGGACGACCTGCCTTTGCCACACTTCCTGAAGCCCTTGGACCTGAAACTGAAGAGTTAAGAACTTTCCCCCCGGGATGTCCTTCCTTCGCAGTTCCCGCTTGCGTGATGAAAATAGGGCTCTCGGCTCTTGCGCGGAGAGCCGGTGTGTTTAATATAAAAACTGTGGGAGCGGGAGAAGCATTTGTTTTCATTAGAATTTGTTTTTTTAAAGCCCTGACTGTGGTGTTGTCTTTTATTTGAATGTGGTGGAATACCTGCAGAGCGTTTGAGAGGAAATGTTTTGCCTTATGGTGAAGTGCAGATATTAAAAGTAAGCTTTGGCCCTCCAGATGCTGTTGGACTCAATGGCCAAGGGCTATGAGAATTGGAGGCTAGCAGTATTTGGAAGGCTACATGCTCCTCGTGCATGTCTGAAAATGCAACGTAGGTGTTCAGAGCTGAGGCTAGCAGCCTAAATAATTAGATAAATCAGGGCTAGCCAACTTGCTGTCCTCAAGGCTTTGCTGGGCTCCAGCTTCCAATATCCCTGAATGGTCATGATGGAGTCAGCAATGTAGACGGTACCAAGTAGGCCATTCCTGCAACGTGAAAATTGGCCGCTGCTGCAAGCCTTCACTTCATATTATACAGTCATACCTTAGATTCCAAACGCCTTGATACTCGGACGTTTTGGCTCCCGAACACCGCAAACCCGGAAGTGAGTGTTCCGGTTTGCGAACGTTCTTTGGAACCCAAATGTCCAATGGGGCTTCCATGGCTTCCAATTGGCTGCAGGAGCTTCCTGCAGCCAATCAGAAGCCGTGCTTAAGCACAAACATTGGTAACTCACAAAACAGGTCCAAACCTTACTGTGATTTCCTGGAGCGCTCATAAAAATGATTTGGATTGCACAGTCCTTTTCCATCCTTATGGAAGGCTGTCCATGGCTATTCGTCATGATGGCAATATTACCTCCAGTTCCAGAGACAACATGCCTCTCAAATACCATATGCTGGAGATGAGGGGTAGGGAGCGTGCCAGGGGGCACATGCCGTGTGGCTTTTAACCTTTGTTCTGATCCACTCAGAAGGCTTATGCACCTGCCAGCACATCCACACCTCTTGGGAGTGCGTTCCACAAACATAGACGTGGAACCATGGCGTGCATTCCAGAGAGGGCGAACATGGAGGAATATTTATATTGCATCAAAACACAGTTGTTAGGTTATTATAAATAACTAATCCACCTAGTCCCCGAATGCATTCTTTTATCTCCCCTCCCCCTTTCGTATTCCAGTACTTTGCAAAAGATGCCCATTTGCCGTTAAGAGAATTGTTACTTTATCTGCCTTCGGCTGGATGTGAATAACAGCACAGCCCATAGAAAGAGAAAAGCACAGAGTGTTTGGCTTGAAGGAAGATGCTTTGTGTAGGCAATTGATCCATATTAGCTCATCATCCCCAGTTCCACCTGGGAGATGCCAAGTATCACACCTGGGGGACGTCTTGCAAGCCAGGCTTGTTTCCTGCAACTGACCTGTGAGCAATTCAAATCAGTGGAATCTGAGAAACTGATGCTTTGATCCAGCTGAACATGCATGCATCTGCCAGGGATAGATAATCAGCAATAGCACTGTTTAGATGTCCCCCTCGTTCATGAGTAGCAGCTTGGCAGCATCACTGATATATTGACCAGGGCAATGTGTGCACATTCCCAGCAAAGGGACATCATCTACAGGATTCATTGGCATGTGTGGTTCGTCCCCCATTTATAAAGAGGTGAATGGAAAAGGCACTAAAGGATCCTGCAATCCTGTGGGTGTTTGCAATGGTTCAGGAGTGGCATACTGGCTAATCTGCCAGCCTGAAATCACTTAACACAGGATAGGATGGAGGGACAGTACCATGCCACTTACCACTTCAAGCTTCCCGTCTAGGGGTTTCTGTGCTATTTAACTGAACACCTGCTTCAAAAATGGCAGATTCTTAGACTCACCCCCTGCATTGCAGGGGGTTGGACTAGATGACTCTTGGGAGTCGATTCCAACTCTATGATTCTACGATTCTACTCCCCCGGATTCTCGTTAGGATCCGGAATTCATTAATGCTTTGGAAAGGTGCTGGGACTGCCAAAGGCTTTGAACAAGAGGCCTACTGTTCTGACATGGAGTATTACCTCACAAGCAGCGATTCTGTTTCCTAACACTTGACAGCATGCCCAAATCGGGCCTTTCAAAGGGGTCAGTCATCGTCATCATCACTGTGGCCTTTCTGCAGGGGCTGCTGCCTGGAAAAGAAAGGGGGGAAAGGCAGCTAATGCCCATTATACAGCTGCTGTCATGCTTAATAAAGTTATCTGGGGTTGCTATGTCAACCAAACTAATGGGCACCAAGGCCAGCTTCCAAAAATGGCAGCCACAGAGCAAGAAAGGGAAAGGGAGAAATCCCCTTCGCCTACAGAAGAAAGAGAAATATACTTTTATTTTAGTCAGGATTCATCAAGGGTATATTTCAATCCCGTTTCCAATCAATTCAGTCCTGGAATAGACTAAGTCTAGGAAGAATAAAATTACTCTGACCATGTGCAAAGTATCTCTCCTTCACACTGAGTAATCAACGTCAAAATGCACACACCCACGGCAGACATTTCCGGTGCCAAGCTGATTGTATATTTATTTAATTAACAAGATTGATATGCCATTTAATCATCAAAACCTGCAAGCAGTTTATATAAAATATACATTAAAATTACCGATAAAAGCAAAAATGATTTAGCCTAAAATGAAAATTGCAAATAAAATACCAGCAGTTTTTTAAAAAAACATACATTATAAAAGACATACAAAAAAGCCTATGAAATTTACATGTCTGAGGAAGCTTTCATCAACAAAACTGTTTTTTAGCAGGAGCTGGAAGTACAGTGAAGGTGTCGGACTAATCAAGGGGCAACAAATCCCATACACTGTGACTCTTTCCCACCCCACCATATATGAGAAAAAAAATGAGAATTGCAATGATAGAGCACTGTTCTGTTCCTTGCGTAAAAACGGGAATAATTTTGAAAATCTAGTTTCCAAACGACATGAAAGGAGGTTGGAAGGCAATAAGATCTCTGATTTTAAAAAAATAAAAATTGATGGCTTTTAATTGTGTGTTTTGTTGCAAACTTCTGTGATGTTCTTTATGGCTAGCAGTATATAAATATTAACGATTTCAATAAATAAAAAGTGGGGTGGCGAATCCCTTTGCAGCCATAACAGTAGAAGAATAAAGGAAATCTTGATCCCTCAAGTCTAGTCTCAGGAGTGAGGGAGACAAATGCATTCGAAGAGAACAGGCCAGCCAACATGCAACTAGTTTTGCCTATTATATCACGTACTTCCAACTACGTATCAGTTAGAGGAAGGTTCTGGAATTGCCGCACAATTGCAGGCCACAAGCAGCCTGCTCCTGGCACACTCTGCAATCGTTTCTACACAGTCTGGGGGTGGCGGCGTTTGACCTTGCCTGGCGGAGAAGTATTCCGCTCAGCTGATTTCAGAAAACAGTTATCTTTCTAGGCCAAGAGGTGTTGCATCACTCGTCCCCTATCACATTCGCAGCCCAAAGGAAAAAGTGGGGGGGGGGGGGGAAGCAGCAGAGCATTGAGATCAAGTGGCAGGCTCAGAGGAGAGGGAGATATCAGCGTGTGGCTTAGACACGCTTGAACTCACGGAAATCCCCAAGCTTTATAAACACACTGAGATACTTCGCATTGGAACCCTGCATGATTTTTGTACATGCATTGGGAGAAAAACCCACAACCTTGCCTACGGCGAAAATTATTTTTCCTTCTGCACCTTTTCTTTTAAGCTTGATTCACCTGCTGCCCTGTGATTAGGTAAAGTAAAGGTAAAGGGACCCCTGACCATTAGGTCCAGTTGTGGCCAACTCTGGGGTTGCGGCGCTCATCTCGCTTTATTGGCCGAGGGAGCCAGTGCACAGCTTCCAGGTCATGTGGCCAGCATGACTAAGCCGCTTCTGGCGAACCAGAGCAGTGCACGGAAACGCCGTTTACCTTCCCGCTGGAGCGCTACCTATTTATCTACTTGCACTTTGACGTGCTTTTGAACTGCTAGGTTGGCAGGAGCATTATGGGACAGAGCAACGGGAGCTCACCCCGTCGCGGGGATCCAAACCGCCGACCTTCTGATCAGCAAGTCCTAGGCTCTGTGGTTTAACCCACAGCGCCACCCGCATCCTGTGATTAGGTAGTTATCCTTAAAATAAAAATTTAAAAACGGCTTTTATCAACCCGTGGTTTTCTCCCAGGCCCTGACAAAAAGAACTCTCAGCCCAGTTCTCGAAACAGCATCTTGGACATTTGCATGCGCAAGTGGAAAGAACATGACCAGGATATGTGCTGATGCTCCTCTGTTTGCAGGATCTTCGGAGTGGCACAGATGCTGCACAATGGCCACAGCATCTCTGTTTACATTGGAAGGGGAAAGAGGAGGTGGAGGGGTGGAAAGGGAGCTTGTGCGATTGTTCCAAGATTCCCCAGATATTCTGCCTTCAAAAGGCCCTCCAAGCATGCCAAAGGTTTTCTGTAGAAACATCTGTCATACTCTGGCAAGCCACTACTATCACACCCACACTGTAATTTATTTTTTTTAATTGATACAGCAAGAAAAAAGAAAAAAACACAAATACCAAATTACACACAGGAATAACCACAAACACTTAATTTTCTTAGCAAACAATAAAACATATATTGGTCTTAACACCAAAGACCCAGCCTCCTGTCTATTCCATATTTCAATTTCATATTACTTATTGCCAATACACACTTTTATCATAATTAAACTTTTCCTTAATATATCTAACTTCTTATATCTACCTTGCAACTATTACTGAAGTTCCTCGAATGCTGCAACAGAATTTAAACTACTATATTTTTCAAATATTCTTTGAAAACCTCCCATTTTGAATCAAATTCCTATTTTGATTTATTCTTTATTTTTTCTGATAGACCGTCTGATAGACGGTCATACTGTAAATTTAAAGCACGTAGCTTCCTCCCTCCCCCACCCCCTGAATCCTGGGAAGTGCTGTTGTTGTTGTTGTTTAGTCGCTTAGTCGTATCCGACTCTTCGTGACCCCATGGACCAGAGCACGCCAGGCACTTCTGCCTGGGAAGTGTAGTTTGTGTTAAAAGTGCTGGGAATTGTAACTTTGTGAGAGATTAAGAAT